ATTCACCAACTGATGGATATTTAGGTTGTGCCCACATTTTGGCTATTATGAATAATATTTCTGTGAGCATTCATGTACAAGTTTTTATGTGGACATATACTTTCAGTTCTCTTGGACATATACCCTAGGATTGGGATTGCTGGGTCATATGGTAACTTTATGTTTAACATTTTAAGGAATTACCACATTGTTTTTCAAAGTGGCTGTACCATTTCATCATTCCACCTGCAGCAGATGAGGGTTCCAACTTCTTTACAACCTCGCCAATACTTGTTATTATCTGAAAACAGAATTGTTTTGAATGAAAATAAAAAGCCATTAAAATAGGAAAAATTCCAATTGGATTATGTTATACTCACTTAAGGCAGCCCATATATGTCACGTGACATCAGAACCTACAGCTGAATGCCACTTTGTAGCTCTGTATACAAAACAACTCTGTTGGAGTCTAATTATCTTATCATTAATGTTCACCAGGTGCTTAGGAAATGCTGGTTTTTTTTCATGTCTAATTGAGAGGTTAAGGATGCTGAAGTGATTGTATGTGTAATGCTGTTGAAAGTTAAGCCCGTTTCTGACATGCAATTAAATATAATGGAAATTGAATCACAAAATTAAATTTGCAAAATAGAGTATGCACAGATATTATTAAATGTATGCTGTCCTCTTGGACATTTGCTATTAAGTCGGCATTGGTGCTGCAGCCCCACATTTTTCCTTACCTGGCATGGTTCCCACCTGCCTACACTTGCCTCCTCTACTTCCATACCTCGGCACATCAAAGGAGTTCATGAGACAGTTCCTGACAACGGCCTGTGGAGAGCAGATTGTTTTGTGCAGTGCTGGTGTTTAATGCGGTCAGGAAGGAAAATCGGATTCTCCAGTGCTGTGCAGCTTTCTCAGACTCAGATTTGTTTTTTACAAATCCGGGAGACCTGACAATTATAGTGTAAAATCGAAGATGCAAGTCTGACAGTCACTCCCCGCCCCATGTCCAGCTGGTTAGTGGCTTCCCAGCGCCCACCTCTCCAAACTCAGCTGTTGCTGCTCTATCTGTAGTAAATATCTGTCGTTCCCTGAATGCTCACTGTCACACTCTCTTATTCTTCTGCTAGTGTCTAAGTTCCTCTGTTCGGAGCTCCCTTGTCTCTCTGCACAACTCAATACAGGCACCACCTTTGCCAGGAAGCATTTCGGAGCCACCTAAGCTCTGCTACGTCCCAGGGCATCGATGTGGGTGCCTTTTTCACTGCGTTGAACAAAAACAGAAAAGGTCCTTGGCCTTGTGGAGATTACATTTTATCTGAAAAAGACAGAAAATAAACAATAAACATAACTAAATACCTGCCTTGCAGAGTACAAGATGATAGGTGTAGGAAATACACCAATGGTGCGGCATAGTGATGGGCATGGGGCAGGTAGTGGAAAGGTGGACTGCTCCATTAAATAATGTGGGTGGGTGGCTTTGCTGAGGCGGCCTCATGGGATGAGGGATCTGCCTTGTGATATCTTGGAAAGAGCTTCCCAGGCAGAGCCAACTGCCAGTCAGTGAACTGATCCACGGTGAGAGCATTTGAGTGAAATTGATAAAATCCCAGCCATCAAGGAAGTTGACCAGTCAGTTTTCCCCAGTATTTTTTCTGTAGACAAATATATTTTTCCATTTGGATTCTTGAAATTCTAAAGAGTCTGAAGACAAATCTCTTTTTGCTCCCCCCAACCCCCCACCCCGCCTTACACTCCTACCCAATACACACTTTGAGGACTAGTACTAATCTAGAGCTCCCAGTCAGAACTTCTGTACTCCTCAGTTCTGTACGTCATATCTTCTTTCTCCACCATAAGATCTGGATTCATCCTCTGTGGAATATATGCCCCATAATCGCTTCCTCGGGACCAGTTCTGGTTTTGTTCTTCCCTCTCTGAGCCACATTCCTTTATATTCTGGCTTCTCTTAGCTTTTCACTTCCTTCCATATCATCACCAGGTGTTCACTGGGTTTTCATTTATGCCAAATCTCTAAATACTGTCCGTGAATCCTCCATCCTATTTGATAAACCAGAGGGAGGTGTCTTCTAGCTGCTTCTAGCAGCTTGTGTTCAGTGGGTGCATTCCTGGTCCTTCCCTTTCAAAAAGAAGGAATCTAGCGAAGCCCTTGAATACCATTTAAAAAACCTTTGCTGTTCCCACCTGTAATGGTTAGGACTGGGTTTGGGAGATAAATACTCTTGGCCACTAAAATGTTTAGAGACACTTCTGCCACATTTCTGACTGTTTTTCACTGCTATCTTTTAGGCAACATGTTTTCTCATGTCCTCATTTTAGATTTCCAATAGGTTTTGGAAGTAAACACTAGGGGTATTTTCATTCATCTGGAGCTTCTTGCTCTAATAGTAATCTATGTTGAAGGAATAATTGACTCAAGACCTATAAATGTGTGTGGATAGATAGATAGATAGATAGATATTTCTGGATCACAAATATATTTTCTTCTTTGTGTGTGTGTGTGTCTCCTTTATTTCTGTACATGAGAAACTTTAAATATCTGAAGATCATCTTGTTGTCATGGAGTGTCACACCTTGGGACTTCTTCACAACCTGCACTTCTTAAATAGAGACGGTGGAGGTTTGGGTGCTTTCCTCCCAACATAGTTATTTCATGCTCATGGGCGATAATTGATCTGGAGTTAATTGCCTAGTGCTTGCTTCATGGTCAGTCTTTGCCTATATATATATACTAGAGGCCCGGTGCACAAAAATTTGTGCACTCGGGAGATGGGGGTCCCTCAGCCCGGCCTGTGCTCTCTCGCAGTCTGGGACCCCTCAGGGGATGACCACCTGCTGGTTTAGGCCCACTCCCTGGAGGATTAGGCCTAAGCTGGCAATCAGACATCCCTCTGGCAGCCCGGCAGCCCTTGGGGGATGTCCACTTGCTAGCAGGGAGCAGACCTAAGCTGCAGTCGGACATCCTTAGCGCTGCTGAGGAGGCGGA